AAAATCAATACAACTTGGAGTTGGATTTGACATAGTAGAGGGAGACGTCAAGAGTGACTTTCAGATGCCTAGTTTATACAACAGGAAAGGTGGTGATGACCATTTACTGATCTGTGAACAGGAGCTTTAGCAGAGTTGTGGGAAGACCGCACCAGGAGAGATAATAGGTTCATTTTAGTGTAATTTTTTATATCTGTCCTAAAGAATGTAAATCCTGCTAATGAAAAATTGTTCTCATATATAGTACATGTAAGCTTTCTCTTTCCCTCCCTCCCTCTCTCTCTTCACCTAAGGGGAACCCTTCTGGAAAGTAAGAATACCACAGAGTGACCCTAAAATCTTAGCATGTATAAATGAATTTATCAAATTTTTCCATTAGCATGTGTGTACAAGACTCATGAGAAACAAGAAAAAGTCAATAAAGTGAAAAGAAGATAGGTTAAAAAAAAATTACCTGCTTCTTTCTTTTTTTGTTTTTTCTTTAATAGTTAACTTCTTTTAATTCTACTTTAAGTTCTGGGGTACATGTGCAGAACGTACAGGTTTGTTACATAGATATACACGTGCCATGGTGGTTTGCTGCACCCATCAACCCATCATCGACATTAGGTATTTTTCCTAATGCTATCCCTCCCCTATCTCCCTACCCACCAACATGCCCTGATTTGTGAAGCTCCCCTCCCTAGGTGCATGTGTTCTCATTGTTCAACTTCTACTTATGAGTGAAAACATGCAGTTTTTGGTTTTCAGGTCTCCAGATTCATCCATGTCTTTCCAAAGGACATGAACTCATCATTTTTTATGGCTGCATAGTATTCCATGGTGTATATTTGCCACATTATTTTATCCAGTGCATCATTTATGGGCATTTGGGTTGGTTCCAAGTCTTTGCTATTGTGAATAATGCTCCAATAAACATACGTGTGCATGTGTCTTTATAGTAGAATGATTTACAATCCTTTGGGCATATATTCAGTAATGGGATTGCTGGGTCAAATGATATTTTTGGTTCTAGATCCTTCATGAATTGCCACATTGCCTACCACAATGGTTGAACTAATTTACACTACTGCCAACAGTGTAAAAGCACTCCTATTTCTCCATATCATTTCCAGCAACTGTTGTTTCCTGACTTTTTAATGATTGCCATTCTAACTGGCGTGAGATGGTATCTTGTTGTTTTTGATTTGCATTTCTCTAATGACCAGTGATGATGAGCTTTTTATCATATGTTCGCTGCACATATAAATGTCTTCTTTTTAGAAGTGTCTGTTCATATCCTTCACCCACTTGTTGATGGGGTGTTTGTTTTTTCTTGTAAATTTGTTCTAAGTTCCTTGTAGATTCTGGATATTAGCTCTTTGTCAGATGGATAGATTGCAAAAATTTTTTCCCATTCTATTGGTTGCCTGTTCACTCTGATGATAGTTTCTTTTGCTGTGCAGAAGAACTTTAGTTTAATTAGATCCCATTTGTCAATTTTTGCTTTTGTTGCCATTGCTTTTGGTGTTTTAGTCATGAAGTCTTTGCCCATGCCTATGTCCTAAATGGTATTGCCTAGGTTTTCTTCTAGTGTTTTTATAGTTTTAGGTTTTACATTTAGGTCTTTAATCTATCTTGAGTTAACTTTTTATAAGGTATAAGGAAGGGGTCCAGTTTCAGTTTTCTGCATATGGCTAGCCAGTTTTCCCAACACCATTTATTAAATACGGGTTCCTTTCCCCATTGCTTATTTTTGTCAGGGTTGTCAAAGATCAAATGATTGTAGATGTGTGACATTATTTCTGAAGCCTCTGTTCTGTTCCATTGGTCTATATATCTGAATTACCTACTTTTTAATGTTGACCAAGAGTATTCTAATAAAATTGTTAGGATTGGATAACTTTCGCATTGCTTGAAGTTGGATTCATCAGAATGTAAACATTTTTCATAAATATAAAAGCTTTTCAAGGTATGTGATTAAAGAGTCTTTACCTTAGATTTCTTTTCTGGTCTACATACCATAAACTTTCTTGTTCACTATGTTCAATCAAGCGGAGCTAGTCATTAGCAAATTAACTGAGCCTTATAATGTATGCATTTCACGCTCATGTTTGTGATTTTGAATGAAGACCAATTATATTCTTACATCTGCCACTCAAATCATAAGCTTCCGCATGTTAAGATACACTTGCTCAGGGTGTATATATTTATGAAGCAGAATATTAGGATTGAACTGTTTATCTTAATGCTGATTCAATAATCAGTGCCACCTGTGTTGGTCTGTTTTACATTGCTATAAAGAAAGACCTGAGACCAGGTAATTTGTACAGGAAGGAGGTTTATTTGGCTCACCATTCTGCAGTGTGCATAAGAACAACAGTGCTTAAATCTGCTTCTGGTGAGGGCCTTAGGAAGCTTACAATCATGGTGTAAGGCAAAGGGTGAGAAGGCATATCATATGGTGAGAGAAGATGGAAGAGAGAAAGCAGGAGGTACCAGATTCTTTAAACAATCAGTTCTAACATTAACTAATAGTATGAGTGCTCACTTATTGCTGTATGGAGGGCACCAAGCCATTCATGGAGCTCTGTCCTCATGACCCTATCATCTCCCACCAGGCCCTTCTTCCAACATTAGAAGCACATTTCAACATGAGATTTGTAGGAAACAAACATTTAAACTGTAGCAGCACCCATCAACTGTTTTCTTTATGTTAGTAAGAGAAGCTGGAAGCCATCACCCTCAGCAAACTAACACAGGAACAGAAAACCAAACACTGCATGTTCTCACTCATAATTTGGAGCTGAACAATGAGAACACATGGACACAAGAGGGGGACAACACACACACCTGGATTTGTTGGGGTTTGGGGTGAGGGGAGGGAGAGCATTAGGACAAACAGCTAATACCAAACCTTGGTGTTGGGTTGATAGGTGCAGTAAACCACCACAACACATGTATACCTATGTAACAAACCTGCATGTTCTGCACATGCTGAGCTTAACGTAAAATTTTAAAAAATAAAAAATAGATAACATTTTTTCCAAGTATTTTGACAAAGTTATTTTCAAGAGAGGATTTTATTCCTGAATTCAGATTTTAAAGAGTATACTTATTTGAGGGGACAGGGGATTTAAGATATCTTAATCCTGACCTGAAACACACTGCAAAGACTACTATAAAAAATAGAAGAATGCATGATATTGAGATGAAATAACTCTTGTATGTAAATTATCCTGATAGATGTAATTAAAGTAATAAACTACAAAAAAAAAGAAAACTCTTAATCATATACAATGTTATAAAATAAGTTGGAAAACACAATGTGAAATTTCAAAGTACACACATTTTCATTATTACAATTAAGCATTCTTTTTCTTTACCACACAACACTAGGAATTATAAATACTTTCAATCTTCTTTAAAATGATAAAGCAGGCAGATCATTTACAGTCTGGAGTTCAAAACCAACCAGGCCAACATGGTGAAACCCCATCTCTACTAAAAATACAAAAATTAGCTGGGCATGGTGGCACACTACTGTAATCCCAGCTACCCAGGAGGGTGAGGAAGGAAAATTGCTTAAACCGGGGAGGCGGAGGTTGCAGTGAGCAGAGATCCTACCACTACACTCCAGCCTGGACAATAGAGGGAGACTCGATCTCAAAAATAAATAAATAAAATGTTAAGTTGCTTTCTTTTTTAATGGTGATTTTGAATTCTTGACGTTTCTGTGCCATTTCCTTTATGAATCTCCATTTGAGGTCTGCTATATTTTGACTGTTTTTTGTTCTTTATATGTGAAAAACAATTCTTTTAGCTGTCAGTATATTTTAACCATATTTTTTCCAGTTTGTTATTTTCTTGTGGAATTTGTATTTTTTTATTCAGAAATTTTTTCTTAATGAGGACAGATTTACCAAACTTCCTTGTTAAGAAAAGATGAATAATGAATTATAGTCTTTAAAAATATTTAGAAATACTTTAACTAAAAAGGTGTTAAGTTTACTGATTTGAGAAAAAGTATATTAAGGGGGGACGATCCAAGATGGCCGTTTAGGATTGCAGTTCCCAGTGAAAGTGCAGAGGGTGAGTGGACACCGCGTTTTTATTGCCCACAGACTAGGAAATTCCCAGGCAGAGGAGCTTCACGGTCGCCAGCGCGCTGTTTCGGCCAGCGTGGCTGTGCCAGCCGGCGCCGCTGCTTTGCCCCGCGCGGCTGCTTTGTCGGCGCCCCAGAGCCGCGGTTCTCCGTACAAAATACACCGGTCCGGGGGGCCCTTTTGGCTGGCGATTGAAGCCACAGGAAGTCGCCCATTCGCTGGTTCAAAAAGGGGACTGGGCAGAGAACCAGGACAGTAGATTCCAGGGCAAAAAAAAAAAAAAAAAAAAGGCCCACAAACCTCAGTGCCGCTGTTTAAGCCAGCGCAGTGAGTGGCCGCAGGGGAAAAGAAACAGACCCGGCGCTTCTTCAACAGGCGACTGGAACACCAACTTAAAAAAGGCTCTGAGGCAGGGAGCCAGGCGATCAGGCTCGGCTGGTCCCACCCCCACAAAAGAACAGCAACCAGAAACTCTGGATTGAGAGTTTCACAGCAAGCGCAGCTGCGGGACGGTCCAGCTCTGTGGGGGAGGGGCGTCCACCATTACCGAGGCAGCCCGCCGTTGCCAAGGCAACCCGCCATTGCTAAGGCAGCACCCAGATACATAAGGCAAGTTCTTAATGACTTACAAAGAGACTTAGACTCCCACACAATAATAGTGGGAGACTTTAACACCCCATTGTCAACATTAGACAGATCAACCAGACAGAAAATTAACAAGGATATCCAGGACTTGAACTCAGACCTGGACCAAGCAAACCTAATAGACATTTACAGAACTCTCCACCCCAAATCCACAGAATATACATTCTTCTCAGCACCACATCACACCTACTCTAAAATTGACCACATAATTGGGAGTAAATCAATCCTCAGCAAATGCAAAAGAACGGAAATCGTAACAAACAGTCTCTCAGGCCACAGTGCAATCAAGTAGCTAACTCAGCCTTTGTGGAACGTCTTCGAAAACATGGCTTAGAAGTGATCTATATGATTGAGCCCATTGATGAGTACTGTGTCCAACAGCTGAAGGAATTTGAGGGGAAGACTTTAGTGTCAGTCACCAAAGAGGGCTTGGAACTACCAGAGGATGAAGAAGAAAAAAAGAAACAGGAAGAGAAAAAAACAAAGTTTGAGAACCTCTGCAAAATCATGAAAGACATATTGGAGAAAAAAGTTGAAAAGGTGGTTGTGTCAAACCGATTGGTGACGTCTCCATGCTGTATTGTCACAAGCACATATGGCTGGACAGCAAACATGGAGAGAATCATGAAAGCTCAAGCCCTAAGAGACAACTCAACAATGGGTTACATGACAGCAAAGAAACACCTGGAGATAAACCCTGACCATTTCATTATTGAGACCTTAAGGCAAACGGCAGAGGCTGATAAGAACGACAAGTCTGTGAAGGATCTGGTCATCCTGCTTTATGAAACTGCGCTCCTGTCTTCCGGCTTCAGTCTGGAAGATCCCCAGACACATGCTAACAGGATCTACAGGATGATCAAACTTGGTCTTGGTATTGATGAAGATGACCCTACTGCTGATGATACCAGTGCAGCTGTAACTGAAGAAATGCCACCCCTCGAAGGAGATGACGACACATCACGCATGGAAGTAGACTAAGCTCCAGCTGAGGGATGACTTACCTGTTCAATACTCTACAGTTCCTCTAATAATATATTTTCAAGGATGTTTTTCTTTATTTTTGTTAACATTAAAAAGTCTGTATGGCATGACAACTACTACTTTACGGGGAAGATAAAGATTCCTGTCGACTAAGCGATGCTGTGATACTTTAGGCAGTAAAGCAGAGCTAGTAATGCTTTTTTAGTTTCACATCGGCTTACGTGAACAGATTGAGGTAATGTGTGTTGTAAGATGTATGTAACATGTTAACTTAGTGGTCTAAAGTGTGTAGCTATCAAGCCGGATTCCTTAGTAGACCAAATCTTATCGAAGTGTTCTCAAGCTATACCTTGATATTTAGAAGAAAAGTATTTGTTATATCTTGTAGGATCTACTTTCTGACTTCTCATCCCCTGTAGTTGCCAATTCTGCATGTACTAGTCCTCTAGAAATAGGTTAAACTGAAGCAACTTGATGGAACTCTCCATAGGGCTTGTTTTCCAAAGAAAAGTATTGTGTAGAGGATCAGTTATTAGCCTACCTAAGCATATCATAACTTGTTCAAAAATAACTCAGAGCCAGTCATGTGGATGGAAATGTAGTGCTCGAGTCACATTCTGTTTAAAGTTGTAACAAATACAGATGAGTTAAAAGAAAAAAACTCAGAATTCAAAAACTAACCCAGAACCGCACAGCTTCATGGAAACTGAACAACTTGCTCTTGAATGTTGACTGGATAAACAATGAAATGAAGACAGAAATAAAGATGTTCTTGGAAATCAACGAGAATGAAGACACAACATACCAGAATCTCTGGGACACATTTAAAGCAGTCTCTAGAGGAAAATATATAGCAATAAGTGCCCACATGAG